GGGACCACAGGTGCCCGCCACAATGCCCGGCCATTTTTTGGTTGCAGCCGTCATTGTTGTTTGGCGGGCCTGGGCTGGATTTAAACCTGCCACCTTAGGTGTATGGCTGGCGCCTTAGCCACTTGAGCCACAGGCGCCGAGCCTCCCTTTCTTTATCATCATCTTACTATGCCGCGATTTCCCTGGAAAGTAGAGAATCCCTATTTTACAGGGAGGAAGTTTAGGCTCACAAAGCGTCAGTGACCTGCATAGGTCACACAGCTAGAAGGAAAGATGCAGTCAGGAATGGGGTCCAGGCGGGGCTGACTCCCTGGCAGAGCAAGACAGCCCCCTCTGCCTCTCTCCTCCACACTCATCTGTGGCTCTCTCCTTCCTGTCCCCTGCTCTGCTCCAACTTTGCTAGTGACTCCTGGGGACCTCCGTCTTTCCTGTCTGCCCTGACAGCGCTGCCCCTCATCTGCACCTCTCCCTCCTACATAAGAAGCCTTGGCCCCTCCTCTGCGGCTGGCAGCTTTCAACATCTCTCCCCGCCTCCCCATTGTTTGTGCTTCCCCTCGCCCCTCCCAGGCTCTGGCTTTCCCCACTTGCCTGGGATTTTCTTCTCCCACATCCCCGTGGAGTCCCGGAGGGCTGGGCAGCTTGTCATTGCTTGTCTCTCTTCAACTCTTTCCTCAGTCCCATCCCTCGAAAAGCTCTCAAAACATCACCACACCTGCCTCTGCCATGCCCGGAAGCCAGCCCTGTGGCAGCCTCAGCTCAATAATCAGTCCTGGGGTGTGTGAGTCCCAGTGTCACAGGTGCTCTGGCATTCCGTCATCTGGCACTGCTGGGGACTCTGTGACATAGGGGACTCAGCCTTCCTTTCAAAAGGCTTACAGATTCTACAGACTTACTATCTTTTTTTTTTTTTTTTTTTTTTGCCATAAAGGCTTACAGAGCAATCGAGGGGCCAGCAAACACACATACACACACACACGAAAAGAAGCCAAAGGGTATCAACACATACTTGAATCTGTAGCAACCAAGTTTAGGAAAAGAAACCAGTAGAGTAGCAAGGAGGTGAGGTCTGGGCCCATCCACTGCCTGGTGGAGCCAAGGAGATGAAGACATTTGCCTCTGAGGCCTGATAGACCAACATAGATTCAGGACCAGATGCTGAGGAATTGAGATCCTTGGGGACCTAGAGTTGGACTATGGGTAGGAGTTCATAGTGAGTTGCTGAGGCGACTGGCAGGCCTTTCAGAGAAGAGAAGAGTAGAACTGGGCTTGGAAGACAGAGAGGAACAGAGAGGAGAGGGAAGAAGCGGATTAAACAGTCTGGGCAAAATATGGAGTGGGGGAGTCCGAGGTGTGAGGCTGGGTGAAAGGGTGAGCAGGGAAGACGCAGGTGGATGGAGCAGGGTTGGACTGTGGCGTGCAGCAAGCATGGCTGGCCGGTTGCCAGATGGGTGATCTTGGGGATATACTTTAACCTCTGTAAACCTAAGTTGTCTTTTCTTTAAAATGGGGCTGTTAACTACCACCACATGGACTTTTTGTGGCGTTTAAGTGAGGTGTAGCTCCTAACACATAGTTGGTGCTTGTAGATGTCAGCGCCTATTTTCCCCTGATTTTCCTTTATTTTATAAGTGCAATGGACACAAATAAGCCAGGAGTGAGGGTGTGTGGCTCACCTCTTTGTCTCATTTATATTTTTTAAACATCCCTACACTCCCTGGGATATCATAGGAGATGAGGAGCTTGGTTAGCAGATAGCACCTCAGTTCTAGCCCTTTTAGATCACCTCAAAAGTGATCAGTGGAAAAAGAATAAGAATTTGATTCAGAAATGGAAAGGTTCCCAGGAATTGATTGTATGACTCAGAAATTTTTTTTTTTTTCTTTTTACTTCTTTGGACCTATGTTCCCGTTTCTCTAACAGGCAGGTTAGATGGTGTGTCTCTGAGTCCCCATGGATGGGACTGTTTGTGATTTTCTGCACACAGATTTATGGAATCAGTTCCACTTCTTGTCTGAGCCTTTCATGCACTATAGGCGAAAGATCACTTGAATTGAAATCAGAAAACTCAGGTTCTAGCCCCAGATGGGTCTTTTGTTAGCTGGAATGTCTACAGCAATTTTTTTTTTTATTATTGGGGATTCATTGAGGGTACAAAGAACCAGGTTACACTGATTGCATTTGTTAGGTAAAGTCCCTCTTACAATTGTGTCCTGCCTCTAAGAAGTATGTCACACACTGTGACCCCCCAACTCCCATCCTTCCCTCTTTCTGCTTCCCCCACCCCCCACCATGTACTAGGTCATCAATTGTCCTCATATCAGAATTGAGTACGTTGGATTCATGTTTCTCCATTCTTCTGATGCATTACTGAGAAGAATGTGTTTCAATTCTGTCCAGGTTAATACAAAAGAGGTAAAGTCTCCATCTTTTTTTAGTGGCTGAATAGTATTCCATGGTATACATATACCACAGCTTGTTAATCCCTTCCTGGATTGGTGGGCATTTAAGTTGTTTCCACAGTTTGGAAACACAGCAAGTCTTCTAGTCTCTCTGAGCCTCAGTTTTCTGTTTCACAAAATGGGTCAAAAATAGCTTGACACCTTCATTCTCTGGGCTCTTGTGGGGATAGTGTTTGCGTATGTATTGGGTGGAGTGAACTGTGCAAACAAGCTGGTGATGATTTTTATTCCTCTTGTTTCTTTTAGTCCACAAATTGTCAACCAATTGCCTGACCATTCACTTTTTTGATTTTTATCTTTGTTAGTTTCTTAGTTTGGAGATGGAGGCCTGGTTCCCTGCCAAGATTTGTTCTTGGCTGGCACACACATGCACACAAACATGCATTTGCACACATGTGCACACCCCTCCAAAATGCTAGAAGGAATCGATCGGGCAGAATGATGTGTCTCATGAGGGAGTATGCTGAACTAAATGAATTTTGATTGCCTGTCAGAAATGGTTGGGCAACAGGCATTACCATGCCAAGACCATCCCAGGCCCCATTGTTCCCAACGAGACCTAGATTACTCACTCCCTAAAGAGATGATTGGTTCAGCAGCCTAAGGATGTTAGTGCTAAGACAGAGTCCCAGACACAAGTGCCATGGAGATGGGGGAGAAGGGGGGCTCCGTGGAGAGGTGAGGGGCACTTTCTGGGAAGGTGGTAGGGGAAGAGAGGAGGGACAAGTCTCCATGGTGAGGAGTAGGGTGGGGAGGATGGACACAGCCATCCCAATTCAGAGCCACAGGGCATTGGGATGAGATGGTCTTCGCAGACTCCCCTTCTCCTGCAGGCCTTGCATTCCATGGTGGAGCTTTCCCATGCAGGTCCATGATCTACCACTCATAGAGTCACATGGAGCCAGCTGAAAGTGGAGGTGGCCCCCACCCCATTGACTTTTGGTGCTGGTGTGCAAACATGCGGAGAGTGCCAGGCTTCTAAGAAGTCTTTGAAAAAAAGTCTGTGTGGGGTTCTGGTCTTTCCAGATCTCAATGCCACTACTCTTCATTGATATTGATCAAATGCTGCTCTCCAGGAAGTCCCCTGGGGTTTGCTGGCCCATCGCAATACACTCTGGGTACTCTTGCCCTTGGCTCAAAGCAAAGTCTCCTCACTGAATTCTGCAACTCCAACGTCCCCTTCTCTGAAGGAATTGAAGATACATTTTCCAGGTACTTGCATGTGCCAGGAACCAAAGATTTGGAGGGATAAAATAGGCCTCCTGTGCAGACAGCAAACAGGATCATTTGAATTCAGTTGCTGCGCTGTTGGACTGCACATTGTTCAGGATTTGCACACAATAGCTAGACAGCTTCACTTCAAATTCCACTTCTGCCATTTACACCAGAGTAGATGTGGGCAGGTTATTCTACCCCTATACCTCAGTTTCCTGATTTTTACAATGAGTAGAATAATAGCATCTATCTCAAAATTGAAGTTAAGTGAGTTAACATGTATAAAAATGCAGACCCGTGCCTGGTGCCTGGTCAGATTTTGGTATGTACTAGCTGTTATGTCATCATCATTGTTGGCTCCAGAACAATTTAAACTTCTCCGATCAGACTTTTTAGGCTCTCTTCATTGTCCTCTCCTCCAAATCTGCAGTCATCTCTTTTGAGTCCAGTGTGAGGCTTGGACCACATGTCAAGCTGCATCGCCATACCTTCTCCACAGGGATTTTACAGGGATTTTCAGCGTCATTTGCATGCCATCCATCGATACCTATTTTCTGTTGTTGGTGTCTCTGTCATGCCTCTGAGTGTCTGTCTCCTTCCCTATCTTTGAAGCAAAGAAGTAACTGGGAAACTTGGAAAAAGAACATGTCTTCTATCCCTACCCTCATCCTGTTCAATGACAGCTTCTCTCCCCTTAATTAATCAATGCAGTACACTTATAAAGCTTATATTTGAAAGAGCTTCTAATTTTTTTTTAGTTACTGTAGCTCTTACTCTGTGTCAGGAGACATAAATTGGTGAGCTCTGGGGTTTGGAGAGAAGATCTCAGAAATCAGCCAGAGAGCTCCTTCTGAGCCCCAAACATGAGAAATGGCATCGGCTGTGCCAGTGAGAGAGTGTGTTTAGTAACTCACAGGGGCAAGGTGAGAATGGAAACTTACAAACCTTTGTGATGAGAATTATGAAATCCTAACAAAAAACACCAGGTAGCAGATGTGGGGTCCTATTTTCCCAAAGTCACAAACGCTTGAAAAGAGATCTGGTCTGATAAAATGATTACCACATGAGCCAATCTTGCAGGCACAGCAATTTTGAGAGCCCATCCTGGGAGCTAGGTGTGTAGTGTTTATTGTATTGTTGAGGCTCGTAAAAATCTTGTATGGCTGCAGGCGAGCCAAACCCTGAGAGGTGCTGCATCTCGGTTGACACCGGAGGACCAAGCCCTGTTCCCTTCCTATATATAAGAGGAAGGCTCTGTACTTGGGGTAGAGGAGTGCTTAGCTCCTTCCCTCTCTCTTCTTTGCTCCTACTTCCCTCTAAGTCAACATGAGCCGGCAGTTTAGCTCCCGGTCTGCGTACCGGAGTGGAGGGGGCTTAGGCAGCTTAGGGGGCTTCAGTGCTGGCTCTGCTGGGATAATCAGCTACCAGCGCAGAACCACCAGCAGCTCCTCGCGCCGCAGTGGGGGAGGTGGTGGGAGAGTCTCTGGAGGCTTTTGTAGTGGTGGTGCTGGTGGCGGCGGCGGTGGTTTTGGAAGTCGGAGTCTTGTTAATCTTGGTGGCAGTAAAAGCATCTCCATGAGTGTGGCTAGAGGGGGTGGACATAGTGGTTTCGGTGGTGGTTGTGGGGGTGGCAGCTTTGGGGGTGGTGGCTTTGGGAGTTTTGGCAGTGGTGGTGGTGGATATGGAGGTGGTGGATATGGAGGTGGTGGATATGGGGGTGGTGGATATGGGGGTGGCGGATATGGGGGTGGTGGATATGGGGGTGGCGGATATGGGGGTGGTTCTGGGCCTGTCTGCCCCCCTGGTGGCATACAGGAAGTCACCATCAACCAGAGCCTTCTGCAACCCCTCAATGTGGAGATCGACCCTGAGATCCAAAGAGTAAAATCTCAAGAAAGGGAGCAAATCAAGTCACTCAACAACCAATTTGTCAACTTCATCGACAAGGTAAGTTTACCTACTCAGTGTGCTGAACTGAGGTGGGGCTGCTGGGCTGCCTGGGATGAAGGCAGTGGAGACATGTGTGGGTTTGAATCTTAAGTCTCTGAGTTTGGATGACTAAAAGGATATTTTGTGGAAAGGTGTCCTAAGAGGTTAGAAGGATGCTTGCAGATGGTGTTAATGGCTAAACTCTCTTAGACAAAGGAGTCTGTGGTCTACCTACACATGGGACAGTTTGACACTTGTATTTTAGTGGTTTTTGTTCGGCTCTTGAGCTGAACTCGGATGGTATCTGTTGAATGAATATAATAGCAATGGTTTAACTGAACTTTCTAGGGTGCCAGTGATAGCCTTGGAGAGGTCTTTCTAACCATACATAAAAAGGGAGACAAGTGTGAACACAGTATGTTTGGTTTTGTAGAAGAAATTGTTTAGTAAATCAGGGCCAAACATCTTTTGCTATCAGAAGGGAGCTCTGCCCTCTGAGAATATTCTGTTGGTACTGCATCAGGGTGAAGTTTGTTTTATGGTAATATTTCTAAGCATCAGCCCAGGAAAAACATGAACCACTTTTAGCTTTTTTTTTTTTTTTGAGACAGAGCCTCAAGCTGTCCCCCTGGGTAGAGTGCCGTGGCATTACAGCTCACAGC